AACCGTCTCTTTGCAGCTCTATTTCCATGCTCTTTTGCATAACTGATTACATTCAGTCACGAGTGAAACTGCCGATAGCTTGTCTCTGCAATTAGCCTTCCTCTCATTGGTTTGTTCAGCCTCAGCTGACGTCAGTTACATCAGGCTTGTGATTGGAGGAAGTCCGTTTGGGAGACAAGCTATTTCACTCGTGATTGGAGGCTAGCAATAGGAGGAAGCCTGTCTGCAGAGACAAAGTATGGGCAGTTTTGCCACCGGGCGGTTCTCTCCTCGGCTGACTTCTTTGAATAAGATGCCCTTCAATTTTTAGGGTAAGGATTTTAGAAAAAAGTATCATCTTATAGTCGGAAAAATACGGTAAACTCAGTATCAATAGATGCCCTTCAATTTTTAGGGTAAGGATTTTAGAAAAAAGTATCATCTTATAGTCGGAAAAATACGGTAAACTCAGTATCAATAACTACTGTGAAATTCAACACAAATGTTTGTTAACTTCTGATTGCTTTGATCAACAGTAGTAGATTTTCTTTCTGGAATAACTGTAATGGTTGTTTTGAGTTGACCAGAAGGAAGCAAAGATTCTGCGATCAATTCAACACCTCCCCCCTCCCCCCATTGATCCTGATTATCTTATTTTGTTGGAATTGCCTGTGAAAGAATTCAGACAAAATAAACCACAAGTTCATTATGAATTCAGGCAGTCCTGGATTAATGTAAAGACTTTTTTAGTAGCATTTTTTAATGAATTACTGATCTGGTTGAACAATATTTACATCTTATTGTTCTTTCCTTTCTTTTAAAATTGCATAATGATGCAAAAACAGAGTGAAAAGAATAGCTATGTTTCGCAGATTCATAAGGCTGACATGGGAATGCCATGTCTGTTTATTATGTTTGAATTTGAAATATGTATTTATATCTGGACATTATAGGATAAAATTTGCATCTATACAGAATAGCTTTTCTAGCCCAGTCATTCCTATGACTTCCTTCAGTGAAAAGAAGTTACAGAGCTGCAATATAAAGCTTTGTCTTCAGAAATGAAACAGGGAATAACCATAACACAGGGTTTTTAGAATGATCTGGTTATAGCGTGCTAATATGAAGGACCTTTCCTCGCCTTGACTGACTTGGACTGAAAAGGAGAGGCAAAGATGTGTTATCTTACCTTTTAATACATATTTTTGTTGTTGTTTAAAGCTGCTTTTATTCATACTTTTATATTATTGGTATTAATTTTTTAATGGGCGTTTGATTCTTTAATAACCATCCTACCAGTTCTAATCCATAATGATCAGACCCAAAAGGAGGTGGTTGGGGGCCTCCCAGGCTGCCTGGCACATCACATTGTTTTTAAAGATTCGTTTCATAAAAGAAACCCAGTAGGAAGGTGGCTTGCTACAAAACAAGCCTGGTTATAGTCTGGGATACCTTTGGTGTGAATAGAAGTCACACTGGAGTGGTATAGTGCCTTCTGTAGGACTAGTTCACCTTCTTATTAAAAGATGCTTTGTGACTGGCCTTGCCCATCGTGACCACCGTTTTATAAATAAGCAGGTCTCCGTGGCATTCATCTTGTGAGTGTTCCCGCCATACGGGCCCTTGGCCCTAAACGTTTGCTTGATTTAAGGAGACCTACAGTTCTTACAAAAGGCAAGATGCATTTCTGGCTTCAGGGGTCGCTGTTATTTTTTGAAGAGAAAAGGAAACCTTGCCTTCTTTGCTTTTTGTTTTCTCTTGTTAAATTTTATGGAGTTTGGCATTCTTGCTCCCCTGCCCTCCTTACTAGGACTAACAAGTGGGCAGCATTCAACTCTTGCTTATAAAGACTAGATTAAAATTGAGGAACTGGTGGTCCTGCTTGCTCAGGAGGAGAGACCAGGCCTCAGAGGAGTCCTCCTGTGGCCCTGCAAAAGAGGAAGCAGCTGAAAGGAGCTGAATGAAAGGACTGTGTACATCCCCCTTTACAGAAAGGTAGCACACTGGATTCATTATATCAAACTCTTATTTTCTCCATTAGTACTTTTTCATCACTTACAAAAATTATAACTGAATTCTTACTAATTTGATACTTTGTGCTGAATCATCCACCTAACCACACTTTAAATCTAATTCACCAGACCAAATGACTTTACGATCAGATCAAGTTGCACATCATATGTTCTGTTTTCCTAGGCAGGGGTTGGTAATGCAATGCTTGGAAATGCTGAGGGGTCCCTAAGGCTTTGAAGAGGCACCCCAGTCCTCAAAACCAATTTAAAACATCACTGGAAACTCACAAGAGATCACGGCCGCCTTATATTGCATTTGTCACGAGTATGTGCTTCTGTCTTGGTGCCATCTTGATTGTTAGAAAAGGGTGGTGGTGTCTTACAAATCCTTCTCTGCTCTCTCTCAGACTCTGTCAGTATTAGAATTACAGCAGCAAGTTAATTGCAAAGCTGTAAGTGGCTGTATGGGGGAAGGCCAAGGGGACGTGTCTTTCCTCAGATGTACGATACCTTTTACTTTGAAAGTGAATCGCCTTCCTCTCAGATTGTTGCATTTCTGTTTTTGAAATAGCTTCAGCTGCACCTCTGCCATAGAAATGAATCCTTTTAATGTCAAGTTAATTTAGGCATTTCTGGTACAGCCTAAATTATATATCAGGAAATAGCATAAATGGTACAATTATGTCTGCAGGCAAGATTTGCACTGCTTTCTGATTTGGTAATTCTGCTTTGTGAAAAGGAATGCCTTTTTTTTTTTTCTTGTCAGAAAGGTTTAGTGTAAAAGATCACCCATTAGATAGGGCCTATGCAAATATAAAACTGGATAAGTACAAACTTAATACATGCAGTCTCTTAAGGTGAGAAGTTGGAAGCAGACTAATCAGGTGCATTCTGTAGCATGAATTGTCTGTATCTTTTCTGCCACCTTAATTATGGCCTTTAAGACTACATCAAATCAACACTAATTATTGGTTTTATCTTAATCAGAATTTACACACCAGTTTAAACTGTGACTGGAGTTCTAGTTAAGAGGATACCTTGTTTAGCATTAACTGTTACTAATATCAGCATGATATAATGTTTAACTATGGTTAGGAAAGAGATATTGGAAGAATAGGATGGCTGGGGCAGGCATGAAATCTCAGCTCCTGACTGTAGGGATATTAGTATCTGTCCACAGTGGAGAATTTGGAGAACATTGTTAGGTATCCTGGCCATTTTTTGCACTGAAATATTTTTCTTGCACAACTTTTTGAATCTAATCAAGCTAGAAACAATTCACTGGTAAGTGATGAATCAGACATGAGACTGACTTTGTAGCAGTTGGCCAAAATTTTCTTTTTTTGTTTGTTTGTTTGCTTGATATTTAAAGAGGGCACTTTGGAGGAGAAAATACTTTCAGATAAGTAAAACCATAATTATTCCCCCTCACATCTTTCTTAAATGTGCCTTAAGGAAAAAAATGGACCAGTGTGTTTTCCTTTTCGAAGTACGGAATGTACTTATGCTGTTCTGTGGAATGTATTATGTTCCATTCAGCAACGTAACAGGTCAGAATAGAGCTTGCTTCTTACCTTTTTGATCATTATCATTCTTGTCTTTTTGTTTTGTTCAATTTGGTTAATCTCACAAAAAGCTAAGCAGGGCCAGAGCTAGTTAGTGCTTGGATGAGAGACCATCAGGAAATCACTAGGCCATGGGTTAAACTGTAAGCATTATTTAAGAGTTGCCTTTAATCAATGGATCCCTTAAAGCAGTGGCATCTCCCCCCCCCCGCAGGCTTGGGGGGAAGCCTGAAAAAAAGTGGCTGCTTTAATGAATAGCAAAGAGTATTGTATTCATGCGTGGCCTGAAGAAGTTCTTCCCAGTGTTTTCCAAGTGTGCACAGGTCTCTTATAGATAAGACGTATGTGAATTTCTTAGGTTAACATTAGATTGTTTATGAAAACAGAGCATGAAGGTCAATAGCTCTATTTTGAATGTAATGATAGGTTCCTCAACTCACTTACATTTGGTAGCCAAGCCAGCTTCTTCAAGTACTAAGAAATTATTTTTTGTGGAGATACTAATCACAACTGGTCTGTATTTTTCACCCCTTTATTTTCTGTGTTCTAATTTAACAGTAGAAGAGTACTGCATAGTGTAATCCATGGGCAATTGGGGATGGTTGAAGTTCTCTTACAGTGCAGAGAAAGAGCAGTAATGTTGCTACGGCAGGCATAAAGTTTATTTTTGAGATTTCACTTCCGTGGTGATGAAACTCAGTAGACTCTTTAGAAATAGGTTTTCTGAATCTGTTTGCCCAGTATCAAAAGTTAGAGAAAAGAGAAAATACTGAGGACTCTGTGCCAGGATTTGGAATGATAAAATTACTCGTAAGATGGGATTGAATTTGCACCACAAAACCTGTAAATACTTGGGGAAGCAAGAATATTTGGAGCGCAGGGTCATGGCACCGTGAATGGCAGGGTTCTTAGAATAGCTGTATCCGCAAGATACTTTCAGGTTTGTCTAGTGTGCCTTCAAGCTACTCTCCCTTCTGAAACAGTCTTCCTTTCATTTTGCAGCAGCCCATTGTGCCTGCCCATCCAATGGCTCCTCCTAGCCCCAGTATCACCAGCAGCAATAACAACAGCAGCAGCAGCAGCAGCAACTCAGGATGGGATCAATTAAGTAAAACAAACCTGTATATCAGAGGGCTGCCTCCAAATACCACTGACCAGGACTTAGTAAAGCTATGCCAACCGTAAGTACACTTGTTGAAAATAAATTGAGAAATGCATGGTCGAAGATTTAAATTGGATGGACTTATGGAAAGGTCTTTTTTTCCTGGCTCTGCCAACAAGACCCATAGAATTAAAAACAATTTTAGCACAGAAATCTGTTTTCTGTATCAGAACTGAGTGGAGATCATAGTTCTACAAAACAGGGTAAGATGAATAATTTTGCACTGACTTTGATCATTCTTCATATAATTTGAATGGAGAATTATTAAACAATTGGTAGTTAGAAATCCAGGCCTGTCTTGTGGCAGTGACAGCGAATTCTGATCTGGACCCTCTAAAAAAACAGTTTGTCGATGGCACATAAATAAAATATGATGGAGATCAAGAATTATTTTTATTGGTTTTATTAAACGTTGTAGATTCTTTTTCTAGTTTCAGAACTTCTGAGCCAGGTCATTGGTACATGTATAGATTTCAACTCCCAGAATTCCCCAGCCAGCATGGCTGGGCAATTCTGGGAGTTGAAGTCCACATACCTTAAAGTTGCCAAGGTTGAGAAACACTGGTGCATGTGAACAGTAGAGCCTTAAGGGTTATCGGTCTGATGAAGTATTTACCTGGAAGGCCTTATTAGCCTGATACTGATATACTTAAGTTTAAGAGAGATGTTGATTCTGTATGAACTATTTGAGTAACACTAAGCCAAAATTGTCTTAGCAGGTGGCAGCACCTGATTAACTTTGTCTAGGCCCAGAAGCTGAGCAGGGCCTGGCCTGGTTTGAACTTGGGTGGGAGATCTCCAGGGAATATCTTTGGAATAACCTTCCTACAAACAGAAGAACTGTCCCCTTCCTGATAAGTCTTCTGCAAAGCCTGCCTCTTCTGGAGAGTATTTGAGGAGGAATGTTAAAAGTACTCCCCAAGATGTCGGCACCCATTACTGCAGTCAGAACAGTATGTCATGGATGTTTTCTGTGCCTAATGGTTTGTTAGTTGTATGGTTTTTAATCTTATTACTGTAAACACATGGTAAGCTGCTCAGAGTCTCCTAATGGGTGCAGCATATAATCTGTAGTAAATAAATAAATACCGTGGCTGTAGGTTAGACTGGGAAGTTGAAAAAACATTCCAGAAGGATGTTCTCAGTCCAAGGAAAACTACATGGATGCATCCATGAAGTCATCAGGAGTAAAAGTCTACCTTTACTTTAAGCCAATATTTATGCTGCTTGTTTTTGGTTATATGGTTAGACCCCAAAGTGCTTTTTGTATGTAGCGTATTCCATTTATGAAAAGACTATTTTATTCCTCACTCCGAGTATTGTAGCATTTGTAAATAAATCCACTATTCTTCTGCAGGTAAAGGAGCTTGAAAAACCAGAAATTTAAACAGATATTGCAAAGCCACCCTGTTATAACACTTCATGTAAATGGGCAAGTTCTTTTTCCATGAATCTTGGTGACTGTTTGCTTTTGACTTTATAATGAAATCAGTTGGGTATTATGGAGACTGATGATAAACTTATTTGAGGAAGATCTCTGTATAGTTCTTCTAGAGTTTGCTCATTGAAAACACAATATTGTGAAAGTTACTCTGCAAAGCAAATGATTCTCGGTCTTTACCAAGCTGACCAGCTACCACAGTTCCAGGTAGTTTTTGCTCCTGTTTAACTTTTCTCTTTGGAATTCCATCTCTTTATTACCTGTGCTTTATTTGTACCATAAATAAACCATATGACAAGTGGGGATAGAGTGATCCAGCTTTGTCACATTTTAAATAAAATGTATAGATAGTTTGCATTTCTGTTCTGCCTTCTTGGGCATATTAATGGTTCTACAATTATATGAAAGGAGACAACTCTTGTGGAATTTGTAATTGGCAGATCCTGTGGAAGGCATCAGGGCCAGCAGGCTAAGTGCTGTGTTTCAGCAGTGTATAAGATCCTTAACCCTGAACTTAGAAGATAAGACTACATTAAATCCTCCTTTCAATTGCTCTTAACCTGTTGTGTTTAGAACTGTGTAACATAGAACATTGCACATAATTCTAAATACATTTTTGCTTTCATAAACTGCATGTTAAGACCCATTGGCTTTTGCCCCACTCCCATTTTGTGTTTTGCACTACGTATAGAGCCTTATGTTTTCTTTCCTTGCATGGGTTCTGAATGCAACCCGTTTTGATGATATGCTTTTGGGCCACACAGTCTGATTCCTGTATTGTACAAGTTGTTGTATTATGAAACTGATGTCACAAGTATCCACTAAGCTGGAAAGCATTTTTATCATCTTCTTGTTAAAAAAGAGAAAGAAAGAAAATTTCTTCTTTGCCTGCAAATATTCCCGTGGCTGTCTCGTCTAGGGATGAAAAATAACAAGACAAGTGACACTTCAGTGTGCAAGGTATTAACTGATCTGCATCAGCAATGTTTTCTCATGTTTCTAACTCAACTGCAAAGGCAGACTTTATGCAAGGTATGTGTACCCAATGTTAGTTTCAGTTCTGAGCTATGCTAAATGAGCAAATGTTAATAGCAACAAGGTTTAATTTCTGCTCTGTAAATTCTGTAAATATTTTGTGGCCACCATAATAGATGGCTAATCCATTCATAACTGAATGGAACTGGGTTGTTGAAGGAAGTTTTTGTGTATTTACACAGCTCTTGTGCTTCAGTATCTACTTGTTTCTTCTCATTGTTTTATTCAGCTCAGTTCTGGCATAGAGGTAATGTCCATGATAAATTGAACTTTTTAAAAACAATTAGATAATCTTCGGCCTTTTGAGAGAATTTTACCTAATTGCAGAAGTGTTGCATCTTAATTGTCTTATTTGTAGAATTGCAATTTAAAACTTTGCAGTTTTTTAGGTACTACTTTGTGCATTGTTTTTTGACAGATTAATATGGAAAAGTATTTCTGATGGGGAAAATGTTTCTTGTTGCCAGCT